CTAGCATTTCCCTTTCTGCTCTACAGGCAGATCCTTCTCTGTAGTAGCTGCAGTCMTATTTGCAGATACAGTCTCAAGCAGACAGAACAAGGTTCCTCAGTAATGGGGCATAAACAACAACCCAAAAMCACWCTGTTGTAAGAAAAGGGTTAACTCTACAAGTGCCAAATTGTTTTGTAACTTGAAATAGAATCATGTTACCCATCCACTGTTTRAAAGCATATTAAGCATTTAAAYGAAATTTCAAAATTGSTCTGAATTTGACCCTCCTCTAATTTTGATTTTCACAAAGTATTTTAAGCAATTTGGAATGATTACAAATTTATATTCAAATACTAAGTAGCTCAAAGGAACAAGTCTTTTAGCTCCCATCAAACTCAGATACATAATTCCATTCCCACAGGWGCCTTTGAAAATCCCTATTTTCAATGTTGTTGTCCTATGGATAAATAGCTCAAACATCATTGGCTTTTTGCACAAACTTCATCTGCCTGAAATAATTTACTAAAATCATAAAATTGATTTAAACTCTTCTCAGTGCTCCATAAATTTTATGTAGCCCTTAAATTATAAAGCTGCTGCTGCTGCTCTGGCACTCATCAGAACAATGCTTAATCTCTTCTCTCAAGATAGCTGGCATGTCAGAGGAGAAAACAAGGGACTCGGGCAGCTGAATTGTTTGTTTCAATTTAACAGGGCAGAATAAAACAGCCTAGATGCCAGGGCTCTAGTCCCAATGAGACTGTGTGCATCAAGGTTTTATGGCAAAAATAAGTTGTYTTAACCTTCCCCTGCCTTGCCTTGGTTTTAAACCAGAAAATAGCTTTCATTGATTTCACAGGGACTCTTTTCGCACACATCATCAGGTTTGTGATACTTGAGATGTTCCCTGCCTAATTTATAATCAGTGTGTTCTTGTTCTGATATACAACAATAAAATTCTGCATCTGTCCAATTACACATTGGCATCAAAATGCTCTGCAAACCTTAGTTCATCCATATCAGATAGTTTCTCAGCCCAAAGCTATATCAGAACAGGTAGGGTATTTTCTTTTACTAAAATCAGAGGTTTTGTGACTGTTCAGTTTCTTTTTTTTTAATCTCTTATCTTTTCCAGCAAAGATTGAAGGCAATTTTGAACTCTAKGTAACACAAGGTGAAAATAAAGGTCTAACATAGAGAAACTATGATTGAATGGACTCCTTTACTCTCAAATTTGGCCTGGTAACATATTAAAAATGCAGACTGCTTTATTAAGATTTTGGCTTGTTCTAGCTATTTCACAGTAAAAATATGCTATTTTTTTCTAGTGAAGTCTCATCTGGAGTAGCCTGGTCGTGAGAGGCAGACTGGTCTGGACTTTATTAGACTCACTCTTTTTGGGGTTTCATCCTGGGGATCCAAAGTCAGCAGCTGCTGTAGTCTTTTCCTTAGCCCAGCCTTTCCAGCTCTTTCCACTCTCCTGGTAACATTCCCTAGTCTGTCATTCAGACAGTCRTCATCTTTAAGGGATGCGTTTCAACTTTTCTATACTCACGCTTTTCTCCCACGTAACCCTGTGAGTTTCATCCTTCCTCATAGGCTGTTTTTGCTCAGAGGTATACAAACCATCTGTGCCTCTAATACAATGTTCTTAAATAGCCTCCAGGCAGATCTCTAAGGTTTTTAAGTACTTCTCTTTGCCCTTCAGCCTGCTGTTAACCATTTTCCTCATAGTTTTATAATCTGCCCTTTTAAAGTTCATTGTTACTGTGTTGTCCCTAAGGGAACAACTCTTTCATGATATCAAAACTAAAAGTGTTCAGTGATCACTGTTACCCCACAGAGGCTTGACAACACCTTCCTCTAATAACTTCTGCCTCTTACAAGCCAGCTCCCTCTTGCCCATGGYCTTAACTAATCAGGCATGGCACTGAGGACTGCCACCAGAGTCAAGGAATAGGAATCCTTTGCCATATGGATTGGAATGGCACCAAAGCCACTTCACATCTCTTGATAAGAGGGGAAAAAACTGCTTTTACCAGCTGTTGCTTTACCTTCAAAAAAAATGAAGACGTTAGCAGTGAGGTAAACAACAGTAAAATTCAATCTAGTGTAACTTTCACGACTGGTACCATTCATTTTTCCCAGGAGGAAGTTAATTCCCAGAGGCTGGCTCTGAGATTTTATAGGTTCTCAAAATCTTGAGGAAGCCTACAGAAGGTTGCAGTCACATGAAACTCTGTGGTGTGTCTCCCCTGGTTTTAATGGCTATCTTTGTGACTGGTGCCTGTGAAATGCTCTCAGTTAGTGGGGTAGAAGGGAAGGTCTACAACATAAAAATTGTCTTTGCAGGTTAATACCTTGCACCAGGAATGGGAATAAAGGGATGATACTGAAGAGGCAGCTGATACACCAGCCTTTCTGTTTGCTGAATGAACAAAGGATTGACTTATGGCATCTTGCCACAGGAGAGGCCTATAGGTTATTAACCACCTTCAATGGATCAACACTTGCTGAGACTGCACATCATACCTCCTGTGCTGCACAAAAGGTAATGACTCATCTACAGGCAAGCCTGATGTCCTTGAGAACACAATTGGCTCTGCACAGCCAAGTGAAGCATTACTTAGTTAATACACTACAGCGTAAGGGAAACAATCAGCTGAAACGATGGCATTGCTACTTCCTGCTTCATTTTAAATCTGCAGCTTCCTAACAGGATTATATACTGAAGACTGAAAAAGAAAAGGACATTAAGTCCTATGATGAAACTTAAAAAATGTGTAATTAAAACAGCTAAATACAGGCTTCTTGTGCTCAGTGTCTGCAAAATACAGCCTTTGATCTTCCAAATGATATTTCTTGGAAGTGCTGGGCAAAAAAAACTATCAGAATAGAATTCTGACTCATCCCTTCCTCTTTAGGCCAAAGAAATGAACATCTGCAGTACAACAAATTTGCTTTTATTTCAGAAATACAACCAAGGGTATGAATTCCTGGGCCACCTGCCCATTCTTGGTTATTCTATCAAGAATGCAGCATTCTTGATGATTCCCCTTGATTCCTTATCRTTTAGAAAAAGATCCTGATTCTTCAAAAGAAATGAAAGTGACAGAGCATCTCACATCTCTTAACATCCAAGAACTGCTGCAGTCTAAAAAGCCTCCACTATAAGAATCTATTGCTGCAATGCTACTACAGTTCACAAGATTTGGCACACCTCACTGCTCAGCTAACACCATCAATAAAGGTTTGAATTAACTGGAAAATTTCAACTGTTTTATGTATCAAAACTGTATAAGATTCCCATATGAGGTAACAGGCCACATCTGACCAAGATTCCTACACTGTGTAACAAGCCTCARCTACTCTCACGTTGATCTTCCAGCTAGGAGTAAACTTCTCTCACGTTTAGCTAGGCAATCTCCATGAGAAAATAAACACATACACATTTCTCCACTACAGGAGGGGAAAAGGACTGGAAATGGGGGCAAGGAAGAACAAGAGAGAAGGCAAACCCAGGAAAATTGTCCCTTCCTCTCCTAGCCTCATGTTGTACTTAACTTTGGCTTCCCCTTTATTAGAAAGGTCTTGTGATYATTATTTTCCCATGCCCCACTATAAGACAGGGGATTGCTTAAGAGTTTCACATTTCTTTCCTGAATGAACAAGTAATTGTTCTCTTTAGTCACAGGTTTCATGGGGAATTGATGGTGTGTGTGATTTTCCTGGTGCGTCATGGTAAGAACACTGAAATTTCACATGACTACCTGATTAAAATGCTTTTGTGTATCACTCACACTCCTTATTAAGTATATCCAATTAGTTATTGTTAGGTGAACTGGGAGTAAAATACAATGAATACAAAAGTCTCCTCCTGGTCAGAGCACTACAAATCAGTTGGGATAAAGAAAAGAACTTGGGTTTCGRTATCCACCTTTCTTTTCCCTGCCGTGTTGCTTGAAGGACAATATACCTTTCAATATATTATTTCCAAGTAAACTCAATCAATTTATTTGCATTCCAGACATCTGTCATCAGGTTGTAGGRCAAGAAGCATGATTAAGCAAAAGTACTGCACTCAATACTGTATGGTAATACTCTTTCTACTGGACTTCAGTCTCCCAAGTCTTTCACTAAAAGKGGTAACTTTTGTTTAGATACAATTACTAACCAGACCCAAACAAGATCTCAATCTTCTTTTGAACAGGCCAGATCAACTGCATATTTGTGAGGCCCCTTTAATTTTAAGYTAAAACCAAATTCCCTCTGGTGCTTAGCAGATTTATCTCGATAACCATGTCTCCTAAACTGCCTCACACCTCAAGTGAAGAGMTTCCATGCTGTGAAAGAAAAATGTGAGCAAGTATATTTCTGTGCTGACAAACAGAAAGACTTTAAGTAAGGAGTCAATGGTTAGTTCATTCTTTCAGATGAGTCTCAGCAAGTCAGAGTATTTACTCAATATTTGACATATGCACAAATATCCCTTTTGTATGCTGGAATCCTACAAAATTACTCAAGGGTGAATATGTATGTATATAAATATATATATAAAATGGATTAAAACAAGTTTAAAGTATACAAAATAAAGAGAAATATTGATCCCTGGAAACTTCTGGTCCTCGTATTTATCCTTTCTAAATTTGTTCTTCTTTATCATATAGAGAGAATACAGACAAATTATGTATTTACAAATGTCCTCATGGGAATAATCAGATTTTCACACAGCACTTCTCTTGCARTTCCGATACGAGACCAGTGCAACAAGAAGATTTCAATATCCATTTATAGGTCTGATTTCAATTTTCTGCAAGGACAACAGATGTATTMATTTTCAAAATCAAGGTAATGTGTRCTCACACAAACAGTGTGAAACAGTGTGCAGACTTGCATCTGATGTGCTGCAGGAAGGTGGTATGTAGAGAGACAGGCAGCAGGGACAGGAGCCTCCAATATCATATGGCAAAAGAAATCTCATTTCATGTACTGAAATTTTTAATAAAATATCTYTGGACTACGTAAAAGAAAACATAATTTATTGTTTAATACCACATGAACAAACTAAAACCAGCTGTTTCACACAGCAACTTGAAATTTGCTCCTCAAYGAAGCTTTACAGGCCAAATAATTTCAAATGCCCTGTCACAGAGCAGAACTGGTTACAGAACACATCACACATCCAAATCATTTCAAAGTCACTAGTCATGTTTCTACCACCTTGTTCTGCCAAATCCCATCAGGTCTCAGTGTCATGTTGAATTTCAGCACATCCTGTTACATAAAAGGTGCTGAAATGGTCACTTTCTTTCTATGCCCATCTGCCCAAGGTTGTTGCTCCCCCTTTAAGACCTGGGGATCAGAAGAACAGGAGGGTCTTGCCCAGGGTTTGCAGAGGCAGGAAGTGCCAGGATCCCTTTAAAAGCAGGACAACACTTGGACAGGCCTTTCTTTTGTTTCCATTGGCTACTGAGAAGCTGAGGCAGCGCAAGGCAGAAGCTCCGGTTTGTCTGGGTCTCTGGGCCAATGAGGACATTTTCTTTAGACCTTTTCCTCCTTTCATTTTCATTGCTGTCACCCGGGATGGCCAGCCATGGAACCAAAATGGGAAAAACAGAACAGCCCCTGTTCCATATGGTCACTCCAGCCCACCAGCAGTGCTCAGCTGAAGTAGGAGGGAGCAGAGTCCAGGTTGCCCCAGYCATCTGCCTCTCATCTTCTGCTGAGGAGGAGGCCAAGTCCCTCCATGAGTTCCAGCTGCTGACCAGTTCCAGCTGCCACTGTCAATGGAGCTGCTGCCACTGGGAGAGAGACTCTATCAGGTGATGTGGAGCAAATGGTTCGACAGCATTTGACGGGTTTTGGAGTCCAGGTTTCTTTAGGTTTTGTCCTTGTTCCCTGTTAGTCGTGGTTAGGGGAAGAGGGACTTTCAAAATTACAGAGTTCTGATACTATTGAGGTTTCTTTTTCCTTTGTTCTGTCCACCAGATGGTTGGGAGAAGGGGTTTCTCAGCCAGTTTGTCTTTGTCCTCTGGACCACATGGTCTTCTATGGAGGCCACCATTTTCGGGGAGGGGCTCCTCTGCCATCTTGTTTTCTTTGTTCCCAGGCAGTCCATGGGATTTTGCACCTTTGTATTTAGAGATTACTACTGTTGCCTATTGCTGTTTCATTTTTTAGTAAACTGTTTCTTTTTCACTTTTATGTTCTTGCATTCATCTCTCCCTATTGGTGAAAGGGGAGTGGTTAAAACTAAATGGGGCAGTAACTCATTTTGGAATGTCAGCCCTAGAAATTGTCTTAAACTAAGACACACACAGTTATAGTGTTTCTTGACTTAAATTTCCTATTTACAGCTTCCTACTTGAAGAAAACCAAACTAATGGTTTTCCACAGCTTAAAGATTAAATGCATTTTTAAAAGCAAGCTGTCTGAGATCCCAAATAATTACAAACACATAGGTAGTCAACTGGAACAAATATACTTTAAAAAAAAAACCCAAACACCACCAAACCACTGAGCCCATCAGTGCCAAAACCGAAGTGCACAATCTCCAACGGTTTAAGCTTGTTTTGCATTAGTTGATACCATCAACTGGAATCAAAATCTTTATACCTTACTATTACAACCTAAGACAGGATCAAGACTACATGACTTTAACAACTGCAGCCTCATTTACTGCAAGGCTAATCTTGCAAACCACAGAATGCAAAGCTTGTGCAAACTTTAGTTAAGCTATGAGCCAGAAAACTCCAGTCTCTGTTCCACAGCAATGAAGTGTCTCTCTTTTGAATTTCACCAATAACAGGTGAAAACCACACAAATGCCAAATAAGCCTATTCAATACAGGRAAAATACATTTTACTAATGGAGGGCATTTTAAAATGTATTGATTGAAAATTTATAAGCTGAATATATACAGGTATATTTTGCTACTCATTTGTGACCTCAAATAGCTTTTACACACATGGTTAAATTCTCTTTTAAAATAAAGACATGACATACAGTTCCAACTAACTGCAAAGACTTAGCTCTTGCTGATTTTATACTATATTTCTCTAGTTGGACTATAACAAAGTAAGAAAAGACTCAAGACACCATGCTTCAATTTCTATGAAAGCCCTCAGTGTTATTCAGGTCTCTAGAAGGGCAAGTAAAATATAAAAAAATACAACCCCTAATCATCATTTTCCTCATCATCAAATGAGAGAAGACTGCTGTTTTTCACTTGCTTAGCTGTACTCTGAGAAGTAGTTGCTTCCCTCTTAGTTTTCTTTGCTTCTTTCATCTTCTTACTTGAACTTACATTGAAGTCCAAACACTTCTCTGATGAACGTTTGGCTGGTTTCCTGAACATAATTTTTCCATCAGCAGGTTCTGGGTCATCATCTATAACAAAGACAGTAAAGTCAGAACTCATCTGCACATGTTCACAAACAAGTACAGACCTTCGCTATTATCTTGAACCACCATGATCTTGAACCAAGATCAGTGAGACTTCTGAGAGAATACACCATTAAAAYGTACTTTTTGGCCATAAACTCTGCATCAATGAACATCCTTCCTGTACACACACCTGCTCCATGGCAGCCAGCCCTTGAAGACAATCCTCCTGCAGTTCCTGCTAGAAAAGGGGTTTTATTAACCAGTTTTAACTTAGAAGAGACTGTGAGCAGTAGAGCTTTTCTTACACATTCTATTCACATCCACTTAACAAAATGGAGAGGACAACTTCATAGGATCCTCTCACACCGCTTCAATATTTGTAAAATTCATGGCAACAAATGCACTTATTTCAGAATTATGGTATCTCTTTAAATAACAAAATGGCACATATACAAAAAGAACTGTTTTTCCTTAATATATTCTGTCTTGCTGAGACGGCTGAAGAACATCACAGGGTAATAAATCTCCCCTAAATTACCATAATGGATGCAAGTTTCAGGGTTTCTTTGTATCTGCAAAATCACCAAAAGTATTCCACCTGACTAATTTTGCTATAGTACATGCAGAGGAGCAGACAGCAATCTCAAATACACAAGTCCCTTCCATGATTATCAAGCAGAGTGGTAAAGCTACTGTATAAGTAACAGCATAATGGAAGTATTTCTGGAAGAGAAAGTGTAATTGTAAAGTCATGAATCAGACACGAAGGTTCATGCTGCAATAGTTTGCAATTTTTGTAATGTATATGAGACAGAACGCTAAGGAGCCATAGGTTCTGTGCAAGTTATTTTTCCTAAATTACTTTTGTGAAATTCATTACTCAACAAAAATGTGTTTGACAAGATTATGTACTGTTTAATTATAACCAATAAATAACTTCTCTTTAGCACAAGTTCTTTCCTTGGTATATCAGCACTGTGGCAGAAGACTTAACATTTCAGCATTATCTACATAGCACTGGCTGAAACCCTCTCCAGTGCATGCTCAAAACAATAAAACAAATAAATCTGATGTCTTAAGGGCTGTGTGGCACAAATGAAGACATCAACTTCAGCAGGAAATTCCACTACAATTCCTCAAGTTTCAGAGATCCTTTATAAGAAGAAATCTAGCTTGAAAAACTAAGCACCAATTCTGTCGGTGGCTTCCACAGAATGAATCCTTGCATATGGTGACCAGCTGGAGCACAAGTCTTATTGAGGAGCAGCTGAGGGACCTGGGATTGTCCAGTCTGGAGAAAAGGAGCTCAAGGGAGACCTTCTCTCTGCAACTACCTAAAAGTAGATTGTAGTGAGATGGGCATCAGTCTCTTCGCACAAGTAACATGCAATAGGAAAAGAAATGGCTGCATGAGGAAATTTAGATTGCACACCAGGAAAAAAATTCTTCACTGAGACAGTGGTAAGGCATTGGAATAAATTGTCCAGGGAAGCAGTAGAAACACCAACCCTTGCAGTGCCCAAAAAACACATGGCACTTGGGGACATGGTTTAGTGGCAACAAAGCAGTGCAAGGCTAGTAAGTGGGACTCAATGGATTTTAGAGGTCCCAAAGCAAACAATTCATTACTTGTATGAGTCTACACTAGTTTATGAGGAAATACCACTATGCAGAAAATAACTAACCAGGTTTGGGGAAAAAATATYTCAGTCTTGGTGCATTAGAAAAGCATTACAGTTATAAAGGATTACCAACAATAATAAACTGTAGATATGAAAAGCATGTTTCTCAATGGATCCACTGTGAACTCTACATGGAAAACTTAGGTGTTTAGATGCAGTACATGTGATACAGAAGTTAAGAAAGTGCCTACAGTAAATATTAGGAGGAAARCAGAACTCCTGCAAACATATCACACCTAATGAATCAGAATACACAATTATTTGGAAACACAGATCTTCAAATTTAAACAACATCTGAGGCATGATACAAGCCAAATTCTTTAAAAAACCCCCCAAAAAAATCTATAAGCAAAACTTCCCTTATGTGTAGACACAGCTGTCTATGTACTGGAGCCAGTCGGAGTGCCAACGTATAAAGTATCCGTACAGCTGTGGAAATGGGACAATCAGCTACTGCATAAGCATGAGGAGCAAAAAATCAAATCTTATTGGACACTCATTAAAAAACTGATTACTTGATTACTACATTTTCTTGGAGTGGCAAATTTAAAAGCCTAACCCCTAAAAATGTAATCAAAGCATACCCACAAAAGCAAACAGATAAASAGCTATGTATTTGTAACCCGTGGAAAAACAGAGGACAGAAATTTTAATTTTACTCACAACTGTCCTGCTATGMACACTGCAAACTCCACTAAATTATTCTGTTTTGCCAAACAGATGGAGGAATTGGTAAGCACCTTTGCAAAATGAATTTAAACATCTAATAAGCAAGAAGCACAAACAGCAAAGCTSAGAAACTCCACCAAAATGGCAACTAGTCAGCCCAGACTASTCAGCCCTCCAAGACCACAATTCTATTCACAGGTCATTCTGCATCAAAGGAAATTATTTTACCTCTTGGCCTTGTTAAACACTGTCAAAATTTCATTATATGCTCAAGGATATTCCCTTCTGCAGGAAGCCCAGGCCAGCTTCAGAGAGCAATGTGTGTTAGCAGTGCTTGACAAAGAATGAAGCAGAGGAGGAAACACAGTAGGCCTGGCCTTACCTTACCGAAGTGTGAAGAGAGTGAGGACAGACTACATTTTCTCAAAGATTTTGCTGTAGCAGTTCAAGAAATTTGTGTTGAGTTGTTAAGATTGTCTTTTCCAGCTAGTAAAATGACTTCACTTTATCCTCCGTAATTTTACCAGGTTCTTGTGTGTCAGCTATCTTTTTTGTTTGCATCAAAGACCTACCAAAAAACTGACTTGTATAATGCAATGCAAAAACAAACAAAAAAAAAAAAGACTGAAGAAACAATCTCAGTGTTGGTAGCTTTAAAAACAGAGTCCCAGTAAAAGACTCTGTTAGTACTACAATTATGCAAAGCAGGATYTCTGGTAAGCACACTGAAACACACAAAGCAAAATACATAAAAGCACTACAGGAGAAATAATAAAATCCACTTCTGACAAATGGGTCAAAAACTACACTAGCAGTTCAAATTCCCACTGTTCTTAGTCATTACTGCTTTTTACCTAGATCACAAACTTTTATACTGGTTTACCAAGACAAGCACAGTCAGAATGTGAGCTGAAACTCACTTTACAAGTGACATCAATTTAAGAAGCCACAAAGCCAGAAATTTCTTCTTTTCTTTTCATTTCAAGTTATGCTTTACATAACTTTTTACTTTTTCTCCTCCAAAAGCAGAAATGAGGGTCTGAAAAAGAAACACCACTCTTCAGTTTACAGGGCTTTTTATTTAGTATTCATTTGTGTAGTTAGCAGCATCACTTTTCAGCAGTTTCTGGGTCAGTGATAGGAAACACAAATGGCACTAAACTGTCAGTTTAGTGGAACAACAGAAGGAACAGTGGAAACCATATACATCTATTCAAAGACAGAAGGCTGGGAAAAAATCTAAAATAACCTGGGAAATTTCTTAATGGTTTCTAAGGTTAGAAATTCAGGTCAGCCATTTCAGATGCWCCTTCCACTGCTTTCTAGCCACCAATTCTCTATGCATGCCTTGAAAGCATTTACTCTAGGAATTTGACACACAGGTGGTACAAACATAAGGCCAGTCTTGCTCCGGTAGTCAGTCTCAATTGTTTATGAGAACACTTRGGAAAGTTTTCCTTACCTAAGTACAGCAAAGTTAGCTTTGATTTAGGTTCCTGCTTTTTCATGTGATGAAGAGCAGCATTAACTCTGTGAGATGTATCTGATGTAACAGCTGCCCTATCAGAACAGCCTGTGCTTAATCAGAAAGAGCTCCAACAGCCAAGACATCATGGACTGTACTCTCCTTGTCTCTTCCCTCTCCCATCCTCTCCCAGAACCCAGCATATAGAATGAAACAAGATAAATATTATAAGGCTTTGAACAAGAAAGAACCCCTTTTGCCAAATTTGGTCATCTCCATATGTCAGAATGTCCCAGAGGCCAAATGAACTAGAAAAGCACTAGGAAAAAAACCCTCATTTCATAGACTATAACAAATGTTGGGATAACTCTCTTACAGCAATTGACATATTTTCTTTTGTGCAAATTAAATTTTTCATAAGACCATTTTTCTTTGTCTCTGAACCAACAGTAACMATTTATAAAATTATGCATAAAACATTAAGCAAAATCACTGTTGATAAACAAAACATTTCTTCTTAAAAAGCCTCTAAGTCTCTGCTCCGTGAAGAAAAACATTTCAATATAGAAGAGTGTATTCTCATTTAAGAAAGTTTGGTCCTAAATAAAACAAATCTCTATGACTCTGCTTGCAAAAGCCAACAAAAAAGCTTCACTAGGATTTGTTCTGCCTTAGGAAGTAAGTAAGTGAAGCTAGGACATTTATCAGCTGGTTTKACAAAATTAATGCAAAAGTGTTGTTCATCCAGAAAAGAAAATGCAAGTCATGAGAACATCTGGTGTCTACAATTTAAAACCTAAACCAAACAAAACCAAAACAAAAATCAAACAAACAACTCAAACCAAACAAACCAAACCAAACAAACAAAACCCAAAAAGCACCAAGAACTGTAGCCATATCGAAATGGTTATACAAAAAAAACAAAGGATGTAAACGAGATACAGAAAATTCTAGAATAATATCCCAATCCAAAGCCTGAAGACAAGGTCCTTCAAATGAAGACAACTGCTACAGATATGAAAGAGGAGAGGGCAGAATCTCAAAACTGAGTACTTTCTGTGTTTTGAAAAACCGTTYGTGTTCACAACAGATAGTCAGTAGCACATTTCTTATGATCTATCAAAGTGCCTTAGCATTGATGCATGCTGGAAAGGAAGATTATCAGTTGGTAAATTTACTTCCCTATTACCTTTTCAGCTTCATGTAATGTCACTAATGATCTGATTTGGGACTATATATTATGGTCTAGTAGCCATTAAATTAATTTGACTTTCAAGTCTGGGATAAAAATCAAAGCAACGTGAAATGCAGTCAAGTCATGCAGCACCAAACTTTCTTTATACTTCCCATTTTCAGAATTGACAGCCAAAAAAATAAAAGAAAATMACATGTTACTCAAAACTCTCTTCATTAAACTGGAAGTAACCACTTACCTAAATACCTGCCTCAGACTAGAAATCAGGATTTAAATCTAGAGGTCAGACTGAGAGTGTAAAAATGGCCCAATATGCAAAAAAGCCTTCACTTCAGCAAGCTGCAGCATAGTCACACACACACCTTCCTTCACTGAAAATATCACACTGRGTTCTCTCCATGGCAGAGGAACACAGTAGCACTTCCCCTGTTTATTCCCATAAGCCATAAAAAGGAAAAGGACACGAAGACCTCATATTAACTGCAAAGGCAGATGAATGAATAGTAACACAATAATGTAGAACAGAGGGCAGCAGTCCCCAACACTCCTGCTGCCTACTTCTGTGGATTTTCTCCTCCAAATTCAAGTTATTACTGAAAGGCTGAAGGGGTAATAAGCAGAGGTGACAAAGGCCTACAGGGACTCAATACTGCCACCCTCACTACATACAATTATGTCTTAGGAATGTCTTTTTCCACCAAATAAGTTCAGTCACTCTATTCAAACACACTTCCATTTCACACTGTGTATTCAGCTTGGTAGCTCTTTTGGACTTTTTTCACAGCATGGACTCCACCTCAATAGAGTGTCATGGACAACTACTTCTTTTTGCCCAGCCTTACAAAATCATTYTTCCTCCTACTGTGATCATTCAAAGTTCAAGTTGTTTACATGAAAAGGAAGCCAATACTCAGAAAGAACGTTGACATTTCTTTCCAATAAGTTGAAACTTCTCCCAATACTAGGAGGATGAAAAGAAAATTTTTGATGACTTTAGAAACTGCAACACTAAGCATTTATGTGCATTACACTTCAATACCAAGACACCAGGAAGTAAGCCCAAAGCTGAACATATATTCTCGGAGGAGCTCAAGTCATATAAACACAGCCCTAGTCCTGTACTTGCTTAGACCTAGCAAATACACACCTACCTGCACAAACAAATAGGACACATTTTTATTTAGTTTCAAGCTAACCYACATTATTAAAAATTAAGATTTCGCATCAATCTGCTTCTCAAAAAATGTAAGATTCTCAAGTTATTTTSTACCACTATTGTTATTGGTTTCTCCATTTATACCATTGAAATTTTAACACATACATCTACACAGAGACAGCACAAATTGAATTTTCAAATCYAAATGGCAAACAAAGAGAGAAGAATATTCATAGCCATGTTGATGCCTGATAATTTTTGCTTTTCCTTTTTAYGCTTGYTGTACCCTCTACGCATTCCCCTGTACCACTTAGCCCACATATTTGCAAATTCCTGTGCCTGAAATTCCAGCTTAGTTTAGGAGTTCTGCTGGGCAGAGAGACCAAACATCCTCAGGAAAGAGTCAGTGTGCCCTGTTCTACCTTAAACCTGAGGCTCCAGCCTTGGGTGAAGCCTTCTCTCTGGAACATCTTGTGTAAACTGGGATCTGGCCTTATCTGGGGGGGGGATTCATTAGAATAGGGGGACATTACTGCATTTGTTAAGTTTCTTATTGGGGAATCCTAGATAGATATGCTAATTCCTGAAATCTATAAAACTTGTATCCGTGCTGTACATGGGTGTGCATTCTGCCATCAAGTTGTGCACCTGGGATCCCAAATACCGAGGTAAAACCCTTTTATTCCCTTAACCGTGTCCGTGTCATTATTAAAAACTGGCCGTTCAAAGCAACAATGTACTAGGCCTCACAATGTGCTCTAAATTCAATTGGCAGCTTTTGTAAATATCCATAATGGCTAACCACAGAAGATGTCCAGTTTCTATGATTCACCTTTCCATTTTGTACTTGTGAGACTCCAGTCCTGTATTTCTAATTGTCAAGACATTTCCAGTAGAGATAATAGTAGCTACACTACATTCTATCTGTCAAGTCTTCTGTCAGCAAAAGATAAAGCTACATTTCCTCACACATGATTGAAGTTTCTGGACGCTCTAAGTACTTATGTCAATCACATCTGAATGATGAATACTGAGAAATTCTTAACATAACTGAATCCATCAGCTGTAGTTTCACATTGTTATTGTCAAACTGCAGCAGCCCTTCCCACACCACTTCCATCTTTCCATTCTATCTAATTCTTTGTAGAGAAGAAACATTTWTTTCTGTACCTTGCTAGTTTTTGGCACTATTCTATCATCTGTTTACCTTTGCTTGTGTATTTGCAAGTCACAACACATACTGGGGTTGATTTTAAGCAAGTAAATACAAGATCCAATCATGTGAGTGAACATGAGTGTCATGCTAAGGGAGCATGTTCCCAAGCCACATGTGCCACTCTTTCCACTGAAGCACAGCCCTAACATTCTCTTCCATGGACGCATATAGTTACCTTTAAAACATCCACCCCATTGTCACATTTGGCTGAACTAGTTATYGAGTTCAAAAATATCATATGTGATGTCAAAAGACTGCACTGGGATAATGACATGCCATTACATTAAAAAAAAAAATAATTTAAGGTGGTATTCGGAGGAAGGATGGTGCACAATCAAGAGGCACAGAACTGCATCATAATAAAAAGCCAGACAGTCTTAATATGTACTTAATGACTTGAGATWAGGAACCACAAGTGAAAAATTCAGAATTAATCAAAGATAGTAGTGAAAGGTAGAAAACTGAGCAAATATCAGGCTCCTTTTTATGGATTATCTCTTTGACTACACAAAGCAAGAAATCAGTAGTCTAAAATTTACCTGATTCGTTCGACTTTAAGGCCTCTTTGATTTGCTGTTTAATTTTCATTGCTTCTTCGGCCGTCAAGTCCCCTTTTTTCAGTGTCACCACTTGAGGCTGCTCATCTTCCCTGTCACTGCCGTTGTCACTGTCATCATCCGCAAGGGGAAGCTGCTCCCTCTGGACAAGAGAGAAATAAAAGCCATTCTGATCATCACTCCAGTTGTGGGCCAGTTCCCTTTGGYTTCACTTTTGCAGAAGGGTTAGTGAGGACACTTGGCACAGCTGCCAGTGCTGGGCCCTCCCAACACACRTTGTCCAAAGGACATTCCAATTCTGTCACTGAGACATGGCTTCCCATGGAAAGAAACAGCATCAGAGTATGGGCTCCTTCAATTAGAGACCAGAACAGCAGGAACTTGGAATGCAAGAAATTAATTCTGTTCACTGTCTTGACTGTACAAGCACTGTCTGCCATGCAACACTATGAAAAGATTTAAATGCGTGGTTTCAAATTTGAACTGTCTAAGCTGTACTCAAAAGAGCACAAAGGGAAATGTGGGTCCATGATGGCTGGGTTATTAAAMCTGCCTAAACAAATCACTACAAGCAGCACTGACACAAGGAAGTTAGTGCAAGGAAGATAGTGCTTCTGTTTCCAATCTCTCAAACTTGTKTTCTGAGACAGGAGAATCATTTGGGATCATTTTATTCACAAAATAAACCTTCTGGCATGTGAACCTCAGTGCAGCAACCTGAAGTTTGGCAATATTAGAGGAACTGAAAACTTCATTTTGTAAGTAAAAGTACAGACAGCATTACATCTACTCAATTTACCAAGAGATAGACAAAATGCAGTCTTTCTTGTGAAGTGAAATAGTTTGTACTAGATTAAAGGCCACCATTTCACCATTTATCTGAAATTCCAGCTTGTGAAGTGGTTTGGTTTTTTTGGTTTTTTTTTGTTTTTTTTTAATGAATCATTGTGACTATTACTTTTCTGACCACTCTGGAGAGGTCAGGCGGTACTGGCTTCTGTAGGTCAAGATCCACCACAGATTTGAATTGAACTTTAAGAGGCAGCACAGGCAAATTGAGCCAGTGGTGAAAGTCAATACATTGTTTGTAATAAAAGGCATTTTCACAGGTAACTTTTATATCCACATGGGCACAAGTGTAAATCCAGGCCATAACAATGGGCCACTGGGAAGAGGAAGCTTTTTTCACCAGATTAATTTTTGGCAACATAMAGATCAGGGTGGGATCACAAGACATTTGTTCAAGTACAACTAGGTAACAATGTAACGGTACAGTGCTACCATAGCTTAACTTTAAATTTTCTCAGTCATCAAAAAGAAACAGYTTTACATGTGCTATACCACAGTAATGATAGGCTCATTTCCTAAGATACCCTGTAAAASCCTGCTTAGAGGGAACATATCCAACAGCACACCGGAGGCAGAAAAAAACGTGTCTCAGGAAAGGCTGCCTTTTAACAAGTTTGCTCAGACCCCATTGCCCCTGTCCTGCTTTCCTGGCCATCATAACACAGTTTGTGACCACTGACCTACAGCAAGATGGTTTGGGTTGTGAGGCACCTTMAAGATCATCCAGCTCCAAACSCCCTGCCGTGGGYRGGGATACATCCACTAGACCAAGTTACTSAGAGCCTGGCCTTKAACWGTTCTAGGRATGGGGCAGCCACAATTTCCCTGGGCAACCTGTCYCACCACCCTCASAGCGAAGAATTGTTTTCCACGTATGTAACCTAAATTTACTCTCTTTCAGTTCGAACCCATGTCAATTCTTTTCCAATAATTTCTTTTATTTTTAAAACATCGCCTCCCTCCCGCCTGGGTCTTTTACAGGCCAGCTCAACCTGGCACATCCCCGCACTGAGGGGCTGAAGCGGCTGCTGCGCAAGGCCACCACAGCAGCCGCGGGCAAGGGGCACTGCGACTTGGCGCTGTTCGCTGGATCCGSCAACAGAGAAGCAAAAATAAGTTACACACGCGATTTCAGTCAGTTGCAAGCGGGTAACTACGGCTCCTCCTTACACTGCAAAACCCTGGAGTTTTTCCCCACCGCCCGCAACGGGAAAAGGACGGGGGCGCAGATGGGCGGGCATCAAGGCTCGGGAAGCGCCATGAAGCGGGCGCTGTCCGTTCCCACCCCCGGGGCCGGGGCGTTACCTTGGTGTCCACCGTGGGGCCCTCCCGATACCCGACCTGCCGCTTGAAGCGGCTGAGGAAGGCGGGCTCGGCCGGCCGCACGTAGGAGACCTGGTTCCTCTTGCTCATGGCCGCCGCCCGCACGCCCCTCACCGTGCGCGCTTCCGGGACCAAGGCGACCAAGGCGCACCTCCCTTCCGGAACGCCCCGGAGGAACCTTCCCTCCTCCYYCCYYCCYTYCCCSGGAGGAACCGGGGGACGGGGCCGCTCTGGGCCAATGGCGAGCGAAGAGGGCGCGGAGGGAAATGGCGGCGCTCCCGCCGGCCGCGGGCAAGGGGCGGGGCTGCAGCGCTGAGCGCCAAATTCAAAGGCGCCGCCATTTTGGAGCGGCGGGCGGGCGGGATTYGCTGGGGCCGGTGTGACCATGGCGCCCGGCGTGAGAGGTGAGCGGGGCTGGCCGGGAAGGGACTCAAGGATGCGCCTGCTGTTTTGGGGAGCAGGGGTGGACTGCGGCGGCTCGGGGACCGAGGGGCGGCTTTACCGGGGCAGCCGGCCCACGGCGGGGCATCACTCGCGTGTGAGAAGCGACGGGGCCAGGAGCGACTGTGCTGGGAGGGCTCAGTGTCCCGGGGGGGACGATGCCCCGGGGGTTCTGCCCTGCGRTGCCCGCGGGACACAGCACTGCCCCACCGTGCTGTCGCGGTACCGGAGAGTCGGCCCCTTCTCAGAAGCGCAAAATATGCTGAGTCCGAACGGACCCACAAGCATCATTGAGTCCAGCTCCCGGCCCTACACAGCACTGTCCCCAAGAGTCACACCATGTGCCCAAGAGCATTGTCTAAACGCTTCTTGAACTCTGTCAGGCTCGGTGCTGTGACCACTTCCCTGGGGTTCCTGTTCCGGTGCCCGACCACCCTCTGGGTGAAAAACTTTTTTCTAATATCCAACTTAAACCTCCCCGACACAACTTCAGGCCATTCCCCAGACTGTGCAAGTACCTATCKGTCTGATTTCAATTTTTAAAATGCACTCCTTTCCTTGATTACTTGTGCAATTGAAGAATAAATAACTGAATGAGAAGCTAAAACATTTCTCAGATGTTGCGTGAGTCAAAGCAAGTATAGGCTCACACAGCAGCAGATTATTTAGGTAGTATAAATGTCAAAGAGAAGGTTAGCGCCTTTGTACATCCTTGTTCATTCTTTTTTTAAAGACAATCTTCCTAAAATAAAACCTGTGTGCCTTTAAGGATTTTACAGTCTTTATTATTGGGATAATTTTGAGGCATTATTTTTCATTGTAATTTTGCTTATTTTCTAAATGCAATTTTGTTACTTAGTTAATATTTTGACTATGTCATGTACTTTCATGCCAGATTTATTGTCTAGTTAAAAATAAGTCACCTTACCTACCTATGGGGTAGTATGTGCCATCTCCTTGAAATCTGAAGCTGTACAAAATGAGGCTCATATCACAGAATCAGTGAAGTTGGGCAAGACTTCTGAGATTGTGGAGTCCAACCTATTTCTGATCAACAACTTGTCAAAGATCATGGCAGTGAATGCCACTCCAAACACCTCCAAGCATGGTGACTCCAACATCTCCCTGGGCAGCCCATTCCAAAGTCTCATCATCCTTTCAGTGAAGACATTCCTCCTCATGTCCAACCTGAACCTCCCCTGGCACAGCTTGAGGCTATGTCCTCTTGTCCTGTCACCTGGAAGAAGAGTCCAACCCCAGCCTGACTACAACTTCCATCCAGGCATTTGTAGRATAAGGTCTYCCYAGAGCCTCCTTTTCTCCAGGATAAACAAGCCCAGCTCCYTCAGCTGCTCCTCATAAAAGCTGTGCTCCAGATATCTACAGGACAGCTTTATCCATTACAGGGTKATCAATATTACTTCACGGAAGTGAAAGTTATACAGCTACTCTGTTGTGCTGGTTTAGGATATTGAGGTTTTGCAGTCACATCAGGAAAGCTAAGCTGTGCTGTAATAGTTTATCTGTGTTAAGTTTACAATTTTAAAAATATAATGGAATGTATAATACCATCAACATTTGTCTCTAATTCTSTGACACATTTGCAAAACCTTAAATACTTTAACTTAAGAGCCTACTCATTGCACACACATTGACAAGTGTGCTCACATTACTGGACTAGCTTTTTCCACCTCTGTAACAAACTGAAATCTTTCTGCCAAAGGAAGACAATTACAAAATATTTTTGTGCAGTTCTGGTTCATGCACAAAATGGATCTTTATAAGGCTCTCCATTTATTTCCTTCTGTACTGCTTACAGTATTTTCTATTTAAGTGGGGTTTTTTTAGCAGTAATTTTATTTTGTTTCATTTTTGTGTGTCCCTTTTATAGGAGATTTGCGTGACTCTTCAATACCTTTGTTGAACTCACCTGGGTAAAGTATCACTGGCCAGTTCCCATATATGAATAATCATATTGCACAAAAAGTGCAAAGAAACCTAGCATAACTTTGTGAGATAATTTTATAATTTTTTTTTCTTTCAATCTTTTCCTGCCTAASATTGCTACCTTTCTCTCCTGACATCCTTATAAGTTTAAAAGAAAAGTTCTCATAATGAAACAGTTAGACTGACATGCTGGTTTCCTCTTGGAATGCTGCCATGCAATGAAGTCTCATTTGTYTACTAATTCTGCAGCTGGACTGCAGATTTTATCTGAAGAAATATTCCACTAGGAAATTAAATTCTGTGAGGAAGCCCTAAACTAAAACAAAAACCAAAAAGCCCTCCTCTGAGTGTAAACTATGCCACAACTCAGAGTACTGTTATACAATGAAAGCACATTTGGCAAATTAATTTGGTGTGTCTTAAATCCAGTATAACATCTTCCCTGTCTCAGCTGCTGCTTGTGTTAGTCCTTTCCTCTGTCACTACTCATTTCATTCATGAAGACCCTTCTCCACTTTTAAAACTGTTGTCTTCCTTTCTTTTACATACCAAAAGTAAAAAGAGCAGTTATAACACACTGCTGCTTTAACTGTCTTTTGGGAAACGATGCAGTAAAGTAAATCCAAGTTTGCTACAGCTTCATGTAAGGATTTAATTCTCTAGTATTTTATGGGTATTTTGGTATTTATGGCAGAACTTTTCAGAGCCTTAATATAAATCATGTACAGTTAATYATTAAAGCTAAATTTAGCCACTGATAAATGTGATGAAATAGGTTATGGTTGTTTTAGATACAGGCCCATGCTATGCTTTATTTGATTCATTGGTAAAGAATTGATTCTTATTTCCCTTTTCATAAGCAACAAAGAAAAATGCTAACAACTTTTTTGGTGGACTGTGGCATTATCTGCTCCCTTTGTCTATTAAAACCTTGAGTAGTAAGAAGGGCATTTCAAGTTTACTGTGCAATGTGTTCTTTTAGAGCTAAAGTTATACTGACATATAACTGCATGTTGTTTTTTTAATCTGYCACATTTTTACCTTTAACAACTCTTGTAGCGAACTGGTGTTCATCTACAAGTAGCATGATTTCAGGACAAACTGTAAGACTTCACATGCTTAAACTGATAGTTGTCATTTAATTTTATCAGACAGCTGATAGATCCATATTGGAGTAATCTAATGCATAAATATTTATTTAGTGTTGAAGGTGATGCTATCAAAGTTTTTGTGAGGGTACGTCCCCCTTCAGACAGAATTGCATTAACTGATGGAGACCAAGGCCTGTGTTTATCTGTTCTTTCATCAAATACCATCCGCCTGCATTCCAAGCCTGAGCCAAAGATCTTCACTTTTGATTATGTTGCAAATATGGACACAACTCAGGTAATCACTTTAGAATCTCATAACTACTGCAATTTTTGCCCAAGTTTTGGCAACTACTATGCTAAGCCTTTCTAAAGATAGAGTGACTTAGGTCTAACTTTTTGCAGTGGTTAGATTGGAAATGCATAGTTATAGTACAGAAATGCTGCATGAAATTTTGCTCTCCAGTAGTTATCATGTAATATTTTTAGCTGTTTCTTTAATTGGAGTTTGACTTGAAATTGAAGTTTTTGTTTGTAAACATTATGGTAACACCATAGACAGAAAATAAATCTGCCTGTTGACACAAACATACAAAAATAACTGGCAGTCAGTAGCTGATATTACAATGTAATTTCACAGAGTTGAATGGGCTTACAAGGATCATCAACTCCTGGCCCTGCACTTTTGTATTTAAAGAACTATATTTACTATATTTCCTTCTTATACTTTTGCCTTTTAAATGGATGCACTGCTCATCTGGGGCAAGTAATACTGGAAAGAAAATCCTTCAATTTAATTTCTATAATAATGTGTTTGACATTCTGAGCATAATTTTAATTCTGCTAAGGCTTTGATTCCATTTAATTTATTTAAAAAAATAAACAACAAACAAAACACCCAAAAAYCTCTCCTGCTGTAGGCTGTTATTCGTAGCTAGGCTCTTTTTGTAAATCTAAGAGACAAATGTGAAAATAGGTAAGAGTAAACTGTGCTAGTCTGTTCAATGTGCTATTGTGCAGTGGCAATTGTTGAAAGCTAATTAGATTTTTTAAGTGTTACAGGCATCTGACCTTCAGATGGTATAAATTGCATAACATAATCAAAACCACTGAATCAAAATTAATTATATCTATTTGAAACTGTTACTTTGATGCTGGATTTTATTATTTGTGTTTGGGTTTATCCAAAGAATACAGTTTTTTCAGAGAGAGTGATTTATGTCAAAGACAAAGACTTGCTTCGCTGTGAGAATTCCAGTGGTCATGGTACATGTCTAACCTTAAGGAATGCATGTATTATATACATTATAAACTTATAGCATAAGTGACACTGATGTAAAAGATACTTAAACAGGTGKTGCCAAGTGCCTTCTTTTTCCCTTGTCCCCAGGAGTCTGTGTTCTCAAGTGTGGCTAAAAACATTGTTGAATCTTGTATGAATGGCTACAATGGAACCATCTTTGCATAGTAAGTAATTTCATAGCAATTACAGTCATTTCATAGCAATRGCAACACTTAAGGAGGTTGTGCTAATGAGTAGTTCTGGTTTTAAGAGTCAGGAGCATGCCTAATGAACAGTAAACTTTAAAAGTGATTCCTTACTGTAGCAGAGTATAAGCAGTGTTCTTGCAACACTGGATGGTACTTGTTTCTCTTTTGGAGGAATCTATTTGTAGGTGT